CTCCAACCTCGACCACTGCAGCAAGTGCCCGCCGTGGATAGGCAGGAATGCAACAATTGTGGCAAGAGGCATCGAGGCGAGTGCCTATTGAGGCAGAACATATGTTTCCGTTGCAAGAAGCCTGGACACTTGAGGGTAAATTGTCTGGGAATCGGTCAACCGCCACCACCACCACAGCAGAACTTGCCTCCAGCCAGACAAGGGAGTCTTGGAGAAAGAGCTCTAGCGAGGGTCTACACATTGGCTCATTATGAGGAAGAAATGAAGATGGAGCCGAAATATTTATCTTCTACTATTTGAACTATTTGATTTGTAGATTGGATTTTTTAAAAAAAAACTATTACTTTGTTTTCGCATGGGATATTGTTTCGCCTTGTGTTTCGCATGGATTGGATTTTGGAAATTTCGGATAATTTTATTTTTATGGATTATGATCATTGTCTATATGTTCTTCGTAAGCATGCATGTGATGTTGTATTGTTGATTAGATGGCGATCATCCGAGCCAGGCAAACCGTTCTAGGACCAGGTTGTCGCACGTCCCGAAAGATCCGTGAGTTCCGACAGTACGGCTACTGTAACACCCCGACTTTTTAACTTATCAGAGTACGCGATTTTTTGCAATTCTCTGAATAAATAAATAAAATACTTATTTTGCGAAAACTGATTCGGGATGCTACCGTGAAAAACTTGATTTTTCAGAACACCGTTAAAATTTTTAAACTGATAAACAAAACGGTCATACTGTCTTATCCGACTAATGTCGGAACAAAAACTGAAAATGAGTACTGAAAGTTTAGCGGAAACTAAGCGTGGCAAAAACATATATACATATAATCACAAATGTCCTGAACAGCCGCCCGCTCACTCCTCGACTCCGACCCTGCGACCTGAAAAACATGAAAAACGTGGGGGCGTGAGCACCAAAACACTTGTGCTCTGCAGAAACTCATACTAATGTAAACATCGTAAATAATAACAATATCATGAACTAAGCATATATAACTGAACTGAACTGAAACTTATATCTGATACCGGTCTGATCTCGCGACATAAGTCACGTAACTGATAACTGAAATCTGTCGGCACAAACGAATACCGCAATCTCCCAGCACAAACTAATACCGGACCATGTGCACACTCTAGTGGTTAGATTAGGCCACTAGAACCCAGAATGGACCGGCGACCATTCCGAGCGGATACTGAATATACATACCTCGAACATGGTAGCGTAATTATAAACAATGTAATACTTAGTCTGAGTCCCCACCTGAACTGCTGAAACTGAACGGTAGTGCTGATGCCTGATCAAACTGAAAATAATATAAACAATTACTGCTGGCTATGCTCAGACTGATAATTTAACTGTTTAATTATGTTAAGATGCTCTACTGAATCTGACATGATATTCGGACTTATTCGGTATAACTGAAACCGACTAAGTACGAAACTGAACTGATAACTGAACTGAACTTGACCCGGAATTTTAACTGAAAATAACACTGAAACTGAATATCGGGACTGAAGCTG